GGCTAGGAATGCCGATATTTGCTTCATCATGGCTGAAGTGACATAGGAACCGGTCATCTATATCGCGGGCCAGCCCCATGTTCTGCGGATCGTGGACAAACCGCTTGAAAACGTAGAGTGAGTGCTTATGAGCCACGTGGGACAACAGGCTGATATCGAGCAGAGCAACTGGGGTCACAACAGCTATGGTGGAGGCTATGGAGGAACGTTTAAAGAAGGATGTTATACGTGAGGTCAGAATGGGTGATGGACGTATCCTTCTGCATGATGAGCTTGAGGAGCGGCCTGGCGTGTTCTCTATCATACCCATATGGGAGACGGTGGAAGAGGCTGATATTATGACCCCAAGGGATGTTTTCAATCTTATGGCTAAGGAAGGGTTCAAGGTCAGTGCGACATGATTGAATTTTCAGATCTGCCGTTACTGACTCTACCCGGCAGATCAATTATGGTCGTGTTGCTATCGTGAGGAACCAGGGTTTTGTATGAAACAAACGCTCATGGAAATTTACAGACCGATGAACAAGCGCCGTTGCCTGATGCTCTGTCACAGTTACTGGAACGTGTCCGGTCTGGATACCCAGAGGCGGACGACTTCATATTCAATTGTCAGATGGGCCGTGGTCGTACAACCACAGGGATGGTTACAGCCTGCTTGATATCAACGACGATAAATTGGCAGGGCGAAGAGAACTACATTGACGAACAGGAAGACCCCGACTGTGTTGAATACGACTCCATTGATGGTCCCTCAGAGGAACAGGCTTACCGGCAAGGTCTGATTGGCATTGGCGCCTGAGTATTGCATGTCTAACAATATGTTGTGATAGGGGAGTACAAGACTATATTGCAACTTGTCGGCGTCTTGTCTCACGGCAAAATCGCAAAGCGCCTGACGGACCGTGCCATTGATCTTATGCAAGACGTGCAGAATCTTCGCAAGTCGATATACGAGTAAGTGAAAGAACTGTATCATGCTTTGTTCTGGCGCTGATGACAAGGATAGCTACAAAGTCAAGGTAGAGGCACTGGAAAAGGGAAGCGCGAAACAACGGAAGCTGATGGACGTTGCGGTGAATTACCTGTGAGTTGTTTCCATGTGTTGTCCACACAGCAACCTGATGCGCGCCCACTACACGTAGATATCGCTATGGGACACTGATCGTGTTTGCTAACTATCTCATTGAACTACGGGAGATGCAGGGAAGAGAGACGAGAGGGTTTTCGGATTGGCTTAGAGAACATAGAGAGATTGCGAAACTGCTGGGGAGGAGGTCATTGGACTGAGGATGGGTGCTTACTCCGTGATGACGACGACGAGGAGTTACTTATAGCATGTCGCATTGCGCACAGGCTTTGTTCCGTCTCTATGTATACCTTGCTGCGCAGTGCCTGCCTATTGATGTGAGATGCCACACTGTGACGCTGATGTCACAACGAGAGTGACCACTGCCACCGGTCTTTTCATCAATTAGTTGCCGCCCGCTTTTTACCAAAGGCTTTCCTTTCATTCACATTTACCTGTGTCGTCGTTAATTCCCTCTTCGTACGACACGGCCCCAAACAGCGGCGACGATACCTCCTACGACGTGCTAACCTTGAAAAATATCATAGAGACCGCTCATTAATTTTCGTATCACGCGATAGACAGTCCGCTTGAACCCGCATGATGAAGAGCGCAATGAAGAGCGCGACATCACGATGTCTGCTGCTCCTTGTAGTGGCGTCTTGTTTTTTGCTTTCAGCTGCACATGCTCCACATCAGCTACTTGAAGAGCGAAAGCCTAATCTTCATGTACGCCAACAAACTATATCTGTGCCTCCCGTGGGAGTCACAACTACAACCCCCACAACCACGCCGTCCACCACAACTCCTACAACTACAACTCCGCAAACGACGTCAACACCGTTGACTACATCGACACCTCCTACCACTACCCCGACCGAAACGACGACCACGCCATCGTCAACCCCCACTACCGCCCCGACCACTACCACACCACCACCTTCCCAGACCGCTGCCACTACCCCGACCACAGCTCCCCCTCCGTTGACCACCTCGGTGCAAACTAGCACAAATTCTGCTGGCGAGGTAGTTTACAGCACTGTTGTCATTACACCCACGTCCGACCCGAGCTCGTCGAGCACACAATCTTCTCCTACTAGCAGTAGTAGCTCTGATAGCTCTAGTGGCCTTGGCACAGGCTCCATTGTTGGCCTTTCTGTAGCGGGTGGTGTTGCAGTCATTGGCATCATCTCATTCTTTATTTGGAAATTCACCAGAAAACGTTTCGCAGACTTTGATGACAGTGCGTTTTTTGATTTATGACTTGTAAATCTATCATGACCTCACGATTTCACAACCGCATTAGATGAAGCAATCAAGTGGCCAGAACTGAACACCCATGGCTCTGATGTCCATGCGTTGCCAACCAAATCTACGGGCCGGTCAGGTTTCGGTGTAGAAAATGAGTCCGAGGTGAACCTCGCACGCGCACCCAGTCCCGGTGGATACGCCCATTCCGTAGCCGCCAACTCGCTTCCTGAGACCTATGTAAATTCACCAGACCCATATGCCGTCCCTCCCCTCCCACACCTCAACCCCAACCAACCCTACCACGACGACCCCGGGACCTACGGCCAGCCAGACTATTATGATCCCTATCGTGGCCCCGTGCCCAACACGTTTGGTGACGGCTTCTCAGATGGCCATACTACAGAGACCATTCAGATGACGCGCATGGCCCGGACCAGGAGTCCAGGTCCACAGATGGGGTATGATGTGCAAGGTCGTGCATCCCCAGGTCCGCAGGCGGCCATGGGGTATGCACTCGATGGGCGGTCGGCAAGTCCCGCAATCGGTGCTGGTAGAGCATCTCCGGGCCCGCAAACCGCATATGGATACGGACCGCGATGAGCGTTCCTCGGGGACGAGGCAAACGAGGGGAGGCAAGGACAAATACGAGAATAGGACAAAGTTGCTGGATATTTGCTAGATGTCATCCAGAAATTTTGTGTGGGTGGAATGCTAGTACAAGGCTGCTACCGACTCGACATGGACCTGATGCGACAACTTACGGACTGCAATGGACGGTCCTTGGTTCGCCATTATGTGGTTGGTCACGTTCTAACACTTGTCTACGATATCTGCATGACCCTGACTCTATTTTTGTTGTGAATTTCATCTTGCGTTTGGTTTTTATTTGCTGCGTTCCATATGATCATTTTGATTGTTTCATGCACAGACTACTAGCCCCTGGACTCGTCAGCGCCATCATCATCATTGTCAACTCTCTCGTGATCTCGGTACATCTATTCCTCCATCAATTTTTACTAAGACGCTCGCTGCAGCATATACGAATTCCCTTTATTTTTCTTATCATGTGTTTATATCGTCCATCAAATTCGTAGTATCGAATAAATACCGATCAGTGATCCCAACAGCTTGCGGGAAATTTTTTACCGTAATAATTGAAGACAAAGACCTTGACAGGACGGCCCTTGAGCGCTTGAGCTTGGGCGGAGGCATGGTAATTGCCAAGTTGCACGCCAAGATACATTCAAACGTATGTCAGATTTTTATTGTTTTGTTGGTAGGAATTGTTTTTATTGTAGTACTACTACGGTGGTTGAAGTCGGCAAAACTGAGTGGTGCTGCCGGCAATTGTCGCTCGGGAATTGCCACTGCATTCTGCCAACAACACTAGAACTGATCTCTGTCAATCATCTCCCTTCTAACAGCAGACTATCTTCGATTGACAATGATATGATATCAGTTCCTGTGCACCGTGACAGCGTATGTTCTCATGATCAATCTCATCAGGAGCTTATGGAAACTTTAGGAATAGCTTTCGAGAATCGGACGCCATCTGGCGAGTTATTTCTATCATCATATTCTGAGCTATCTTCAGCTGCGTCTAGCCGCAGAAGGACGACAGAGGCTACTCCACCTCAGCGCGGAGTAGATATGTTCCTGGCTTTAGACTTGATGGCATCGCGGAGGGTGTCTCGTCATCTATGTCCAGTGACATCGGAGACGCGCGGTCTTGTTTGAACCCGATCAGCCCGCTGTGTGTATCAAGTTTAGAAACCACTTCATCATCGAGCGGTGGTATTTATGAAGAAATGTTACCTGGGGCCCACCTTATGGGTTTGAGGTACGGCCTCATTGTCTGTGTGAAACGTTGAACATTCATGCCTGTAGTGAAATGCTCGTATTCGTATTACGCAATTTCATGGCATTGAGATGCAAGCAGGTCGTCACGCATGCAATACTGGGTACATGACCGGGGTCAGGCACACTATATTGCCAGTCCTGCAGTGATGCACGTCTCTGGTGAAATCTGATGCCTCTTACCACCGCACCAACTCCACGATACAAATAAAATATTGCGCGCTCACTATTTCTGGCATCCAATAATACGGTAGCCCAATTACCGAGGTGGAGAGCGAGAGGGTGCGCATGAAGCGACAGATGACCTAAGGGTGAGATGAGACATTGAGACGTATGCTCGCTGGGAGGTATTGGTAGCCAGAGTAGGATGCGAATTTGCTTCTTCGTGCAAATCTCCCTATTTTTGACGGCTGACTTTTCTGGTCCGGTGTTATGCCGACGCAATGTGCATTTGCTGAGTGACCTTGGATGAGCCGTTATGCTCCCCAGGCTTGTGCTAGAGAGGCGAAAAGAGATGAGATGATAGGCTTTCCGATGGTCGCGCCGTGATCAGTATGTATCAAACAGATGAAGTAGCATTAATGAACTGATGCACGTGTAGCAGAAACATCTCGAGAATAGCATCGGAAATAAGACGACAAGATCACGAACAGTTCTTGATGTTGTTCGATCTTTTGCGGAGTTCAAGTGTTTCAACTTTCGCTCGTTCAGATGTTTCACGACCAACATGTACAATGATCCCTTGGTTATCTTTCCTCGTGCAAAAATATTCACTTTGACTAATCAAAGCAGGAACGGTCATCATCGAATTCCCCGATCTCGTTTCGCTGATCTACGCACTGGATGGTGGTATAACTAGCACGAATGCCATCGTCTTACGTCCACCAAGTTCGCCTCTCACCCACGCCTATTCTCTATCAATATGACCGTAGTCCTAAATGATCCCACTTGGTGGTCGGCCATCAATGCATATAGTTTCGCCAGCTATTTTATAGGTTCGTGGAGAGCGGATGTTGAAGCTGACACAATCTAACCTCGGCTTTTGTTTCGCAGTTGCCGCCTGTGTTGTAGTGGCGTATGATTGGGGTGAGCATAATAACATTAAAAGACTGCTGATGTCTGACGATTATTTTCAGCACTTACATTCGGACAAGAGGTATGTCGATGGTATGGCCGGAGTGGCCATCTCGCTGAGAATGGCTTTATAGGTGGAACTGATCTGGGTGAGTAGAGCCTAGTGTCAGAGGAACACACATGAAAATATGCTTGATTCCAGAGACAGCGCTGGTCCGTAATGACAGTCATGTATCTCGGTGTATGTAGCTTGTTTGTCGCGGTTGCCATGCGGTGCTGACTTGAAAGTATCCTAGGTGCGTTACCTTGGAATCTTATACGTTACGTATGTTCAGATGGCTACACTATCGGTGTTGTGCTAATCGTCTATGTCTTATAACTAGCGTGACCACCTTGGGTATGTCTCCTTAGTACATCCACTGTCTTCACCTCTTCTGACGAACGGCTTTCAGCCAGTGTTCCGACTATCTCATTGACAGATACGGTGAGTCTTCTGCACAGATGCCTATCACTATTCCCCTCCAATTAACTGTGGTGCCTTGTAGCAGTGGGTGTGGTTCTTTGCTGACTTCTTTGTCCACTAATGACTGCAATGCTATACTCCGACAGATGTGAGTCTATTTGGAATGTGTGCTACCCGAGGCCGATCGCTGGCCGGATTCGTCAGGCGGGATTATCTATATCGTATGGAATTGGACTGGTATTGTGATATTTGCGATGCTGTGGGGTGAGCTTTGCACTTGCGAGACCTCAATGATATTGATTTGACTGAAACATGATGCAAGTCATCATCATCACTCGGTTGCATGCTATGTATCAATCCAGAAAGATCCTGATATTTCTCATTGTCACCTTCCTGGCTGTCAACATTTTAACGGAGTAGTCACTATAATGGCATCGATGCATACTTCAGGGGGTACGCTCAATTGTGGATGAAACACATGTGCATGAAGCTCATCGATGAATGCCAGAGGAACTCATTCTCTCTGGCACTTATCAGTGCCAGATGAAATATGCAGAACATGTGATATTTCTACTTTCCATTTGTTGGATACTTGCAACTGTGTGGGAGGTCCTCACACTAAGTCTCGCAGTCTGGATTGCGGTAAAACACTTCCGTGAACTGCGACAACATTCGGCAGGAGGGATTATCGGGGACTGTTTTACGGTGTTAATGAAAACCCACGTGGTTTACTTTGCGAGGTAAACTCATTGTGATTATTGTTCCTTCCTTTCACTGAAGAGTCGGGTGTGGTAGCTTTGTTGCTGTTTCTTACTTCGAGATTAAAGTTTTTTTCTCTTCAACATCATTGGTGTGTTATTCTTTCACTTGCATATGTGCACTACCACAATTTATCGTTTCCATAGGACGCTTCCCTGGGCGCTCAGTTGATGACGGGGTTTCTCCAGATTTTGGCCGTCATGCAGATGTTTGTGTTGGGACCGCGCCTGATCCTTGGTGTTTGAGAATACCACGCTAAGCTCGTGGCTGATTCTAACGCAGCAACTGGTATGACCTCAATCGCTTTCCAGGAGCGCATGCATATATCGACTGGCAATGATGTGTGGTAGTCGATGGAGTTAACGGTTGTCTGGTGCCCTCCAAAGAGCAGGGAAATTTCCGTCTATTTAATCTCACTTTCTTAAGGTACTGAACGAAGTTATTCGGTGTTCCAAAGTAGTTTTCAAGGAGACATACAAAGTTTTTTGTCATATTATTTAGTCAAGTGATTTGCTATACGTGCTGATAATGTTTAAATCGATGAATATCTCTACTGGCACTAGCTGCCCGCGCAGACTTACACCGGTCCTTCTGTTCTCTGTCCGATGACAATTTGTCATATGATTGCTCAGGCAGCACGCGAGAGGAAAGTTTAGGGACAGCACACTGCTTCAGTTCCTCAGCGATTCATACACAATTCCGAGTCATCTTCTCGCCTCACGCAATGTCCTATGAACTGCTACCTTGTTTTTTTTTTCGGCTGACTCACGCCAACTGGCCTACACATGATGCATTCAAGGTGATCACAAGGTGCGCGAAGCACGTTCATGCATGCGTAGCTTGATGACGCGAGGTATACTTGATGAGTTTTGGGGAGGCTGAAGTTGGTCAATGCTTGTGGAGGAGCCTGCCTTTCACTTTTGTTCGCCAAGGTGGACATACGGATACAAATATAAACGTGTTTGAGATTGTTACTGAAGCACTACTGGGGGATACATGTACCCTATTAAGCATTGTGATATGAAGGCCGTGATTCTTCAGCTGAGACCCAGCGCCTCTGTGGAGTCGGGGGAATTTGAAGGAATCCAGGGTGCTAACCGGACACGAAACATAAAACAGTTTGTTGGCGTGGTTCAAAACGACAAGCAACGCGGACATGCAGGCACCAGCACTAGCAATAGTGCAGGAGTCGAGTATCTGCTGCTTGAGGTCAGGCAGTGGACGTGATAGTGAGATCGAGGTGAATTTTTCGATGTAGCTGGTACGCAGCCAAGATGTCATCATCGAGATTCGATGTTAGATTGATTTAGGATTTGAAATTTGGAACGTGCGTGCGAGAACATTATAAGTCGTGATGACACTCTGAGAGATTTGAGGGCATTACTTTGAAGAAGGGAATGTTCGAAGACATTTGAAGTGTGCTGTATTGCAGATTGTTATAAGAATAGACTTGACGAGAATTTCAGTACGCACAAGTAATAGAATGGTTCAAACAAAATAACACGAGTCGCTCTGAGCAGAACAGTTGGAGTGTGACTAGCACGAACATGCCACCAGGTTGGTGGGTGCTATGGGTAGGCTTTAAAAGTGATGGGAGTGGTTGCGGAGGACTGAGTAGGTGGTGTTGGTGACAGTCGAGTCCGGAAATTGCGAGTCGAAGATGTGATTATTGAATGCGTGGAAGCTCACGTTTTTCCACGGGAATGCATTTATGATTAACCCAGAGTCGTGGCCTGCACCGATGTGCAAGCTTAGTTGGGGGAGAATGCAAGGTAATGATATCGAGTCAAGTGCCAGTGGGAAGGAAACCGTCACGGTTTTGTGCATGTACACATATGAATCGGTCACCCGCGCAATTTTTATGGGATTTGCTCTTTAGGTGCTTCTGGAACTCTATCAGGACGACTCGCGACTTACCTCTGGTTGCTATTAAACGTTAAACCCGTAACCAGTGTGACACAAGGCTTGGTGTCAGTGAAGCTGCAAATTTCAAACTCCGTGCTTCGCCTTGTCTATTAATTCCTGTTCCCAATTATGCCCATGCCCACTTTATCATCATAAACCAACTAGCTATACGACTAGTATGACATTGTATGTTATTCGCACGGTCCGCGACTGGGTACGCCAGCATCCCCAGTGCTCCAAATTGAAGTAAGTATTTAGTCCTTAGACCTCAGCTATGGCATCCCACTTTTTCAAAATCTCACAAAGACCACCTGATGAAATCATACAGCTTGTTCACAGCAAGTCTACATCCACGGTGAGCATCCCTTCTTTTCCAATTATTTTCGCTAAGCAAACCCATATAGAACCGGCTTTGTACTATAATCTGGTTAGCATGCAAGGACTCTAACGCCACAAGAATCCTCGAATCTTAAGCTTGATCGTCAATCGGAGTTCCGAGTTGTCGGTGTAGTCTCCGGCGTCGTTACAGTAGCTTGTTCATGCTAAATATAGAGGCCGTTTCAATCTACATTCCCACTCAGGCTATCCTATGAATGTGAGTCAACAGAAGGACATCAACTGCATGATGGATTCAGTGTGGCACGGTTTGGATCAGTTTTCATTGGAATGAGCGTTGATGGTGTACATTTGCAGCTGTATGACCCGGTCAGTTATTCCCGCAACTTCAAATCTCCAACTTTCTGATGATGTGCCAACAGAATTTTACCGCCTTTAGCCATTGTGCATCTGAGCAGCACTCATCTGCTCTCTCAACGCTCTCTTGATATAGGGGTGATGTTGCATATTCATCATACATCAATCACGGAATCTCAACCAAGACGTCTGGTGAAACCTGATGCTTTTCACCACCGCACCAACTCCATGATGCAAATCAAATATTCTGGGCTCACCATTTCTGGCATCCAGGTCATATGGTAGCCCAATTTCCGAGGCAGAGAGCGAGAGGGTGCGCATGAAGCGACAGATGATTTAAGGGTGAGATGAGACATTGAGACGTATGCTCGCTGAGAGGTATTGGTAGCCAGAGTAGGACGCGAATTTATTTCTTCATGAAAATCTCCCTATTTTTTACGACTGACTTTTCTGGTTCGGTATCATGCTGATGCAATGTGCATTTGCTGAGTGACCTTGGATGAGCTGTTATGCTCCCCGGGCCTGTGCTAGAGAGGCGAAGAGACATGAGACGAAAGGCTTTCCGATGGTCGCACCGTGATCAGTATGAATCAGACAGATGAAGGTAGTACGTGGTTGCATTAATGAACTGATGCACGTGTAGCAAAAACATCTCAAGAATAGCATCGGAAATAAGGCGACAAGATCACGAACAGTTCTTGATGTTGCTCGATCTTTTGCGGAGTTCAAGTGTTTCGCTCGCTCACGACCAACATTTACTATGATCCCCTGGATTAATTTATCTTTCCTCATGCAAAAAAATATCCACTTCGACCAATCAAAACAGGAACGGTCATCATCTCCTGATCTCGTTCGCTGATCTACGTACCGGATGGTGGTATAACTAGCAAGAATGCCATCGTCTTACATCCACCAAGTCCGCCTCTCACCCACACCCATTCTCTACCAGTATGACCATAGTCTTAAATGATCCCACTTGGTGGTCGGCCATCAATGCATCTCGTTTAAACAGCTATTTTGTAGGTTCGTGGAGAGCAGTCGGATGTTGAAGCTGACTCAGTCTAACCTTGACTTTTGTTTCTCAGTCGCCGCCTGTGTTGCAGTGATGTATGATTCCGGTGAGCATGATAACATCAAAGGATTGCTGATATTTTACCAGTACTTTCAGCACTTACATTCGGACAAGAGGTATGTTGATGGTATGGCCGGAGTGGCCATCTCGCTGAGAATGGCTTTATAGGTGGAACTGATCTGGGTGAGTAGAGTATGGTGTCAGAGAAACACACGTGAAAATACACTTGATTCCAGAGACAACGATGGTCCTTAATGACAGCTCTATATCTCGGTGTATGTAGCTTGTTGGTCGCGGTTGCCATGTTATGCTGACTTGATAGTATCTTAGGTGCGCTACCTTGGATTCTTATACGCTACGTATGTTCAGATGGCTACACTATCGGTGTTGTGCTAATCGTCTATACCTTATAACCAGCCTTGCCATCTTGAGTATGTCTCCTTAGTACATTCGCTGTATGTGCTTATTCTGACAAACGACATATAGTCAATGTTCCGACTATCTCATTGACAGATACGGTGAGTCTTCTGCACAGATGCCTATCACTATTCCCCTCCAATTAACTGCGGTGCCTTGTAACAGTGGGTGTGGTTCTTTGCTAACTTCTTTGTTCACTAATGACTGTTATGCTATACTGCCACAGGTGTGAGTCTGTTTGGACTGTGTGCTACCCGAGGCCGACCACTGACCGGATTTGTCAGGCGGGATTATCTACATCGCATGGATTTGGACAGGTGTTGTGGTATTTGCGATGATATGGGGTGAGCTTTGCACTTGCGATACCTCAGTGATATTGACTTGACTGAAACATGCTGCAAGTCATCATCATCACTCGGTTGTATGCCATGTATCAAGGATCTAGAAAGATCTTGATATTTCTCATTGTTACCTTCCTGCTTCTTAGCATTTTCGATGCAGTGGCCGTCGTGCTTATCACGATATATTCTTCAGGAGGTATGCTCCATTGTGGATGTAAAATAAACGTGTATGAGGCTCATTGATGAATGCTAGAGGAACTCATTCTCTCTGGCACTTATCAGTGCCTGATTCACGATACGGAAAGAGTCCTACTCCTTATGTCTGCTACTTGGGTGCTCGGCACCGCGTGGGAGGTCCTCGCGCTATGTCTCACAGTCTGGATTGCGGCCAAACACATCCGTGAACTGCGACAACATTCGGCAGGAGGGATTATCGAGGACTGTTTCACGGTGTTGATGAAAACTCACGTGGTTTACTTTGCGAGGTAAGCTCATATTGTGATTATTATTCCTTTTTTCCACTGAAGGGTCGGACGTGGTAGCTTTGTTGCTGTTTCTTGCATTGAGCTCATTGTTAATTTCTCTCCAACACTCTCAACGGTATGTCAATCTTTCACTTGTCTATGCACGCTACCACAATTCATCGTTTCTATAGGGCAGTTCCCTGGACGCTCAGATTATTTTGGGGGTTGTTCAGATTTTTGAGGTCGTGCAGATGTTTGTGCTGGGACCGCGCCTGATCCTTGGTGTTCGGGAATACCACGCCAAGCTCGTTGTCGATTCCGATGCAGCAACTGGTATGACCTCAATCGCTTTCCAGGAGCGCGTGGAAATATCGACTGGCAGTGGTGTGTGATACTCGGTGGAGTTAACGGGTTGTCTGTTGCCCTCCAAAGAGCAGGAAAATTTGCTTTTATTTATTACCACTTTCTTGAAAGTATTGATCGAAGTTATTTGGTGTTCCAAAGTAGATTTCAAGGAGACATACAAAGTTTTCGTCGTATTATTTATTCCAGTGATTTGCTATACGTGCTGATAATACTTAAATCGATGAATATCTGTACTGGCACTAGCTGCCCACGCACACTTTCACCAACCACTGGTCCTTCTTTTCTGTGCGATGACAATTGTTCATATGATTGCTTGGGTAGTGCGCGAGAGGACGGCCGAGGGACAGCGCACAACTTCAGTTCCTCAGCAATTCATACTCGATTCATCTTCTCGCCTCATGCAATGTCCCATGGACTGCTACTTTGTTTTTTTCGGCTGACTCACGCCAAGTGGCCTACAGATGATGCATTCATGCGCGAAGCACGTTCATGCATGCATAACTTAATGATACGAGGCATACTTGATGAGTCTACTTATAACGCAAGATGCATACGCTCAATTTTTGTCGCGGATTTCCTGCCCTACGACTTCGATGCGTCGACATAAGGCAGGGACGTTGGAGTTGTCACAACCTCAAACTTGCCAAGAATGAAGCATTGTGATGACCGTCTGTATTCGCTTGAGTGAAAAGTCGAACCAAGGAAAGAGTTCTACGACCAGATGGTGACAGAGTTAGCATCAACGGGGAAACATTAATTATAGACGGTACCGTCATAGTAATTATCTTTGTTTTTAAATGTATATAGTCTGGACGTACGTGGGATTGGCCTCGAGAGTTATACTCTATAGCAACACATGCTTGAAACATCATAGTCTCCCATAGTCAGATTTTCGGGCCTTGATCGAATGAAGATGGTACCCTCAACCGATGATCTCCATAAGTACCTAGCTAATCATCGACTAGTTGATACCACTCCGCTCTGTAAGTTAGGCTAGACGTCAACAACCTCAAGTTTGCCGATAAACCTTGACGGAAAATTCGGATCGCCACCGAACGTTGCGCGTTCCCTATCTCCTTTGAGTATATGAATCCTATCCTTGTCGATCCATATGTCGTCCAACTCTGGACTAGCACGATCGAACTTTCTGTCCGTAAATACGACCTGGACGTAAGGCAGGGATGTTTTCAAAATCTCTCCAAATTCCCTGGTAGAGGAGATGTATGTAGCAGACGGCTCTTTCACCACACGTCCTAGACCCAGCCTGTTTGTCACAGCTAGCGGGCTAAAGTCCATCAAATGTAATATGGAATGCCGGTTTTCTTCTCGCGTGTGGTGTACATGCAGGACTCGATTCCCGTTAATGTGACCTTTGAAATCATATGGGTGCTGGAAAAGACGAGTATTCGAAGGGCCCCACTGTTGCCATGGTATTGGCGCTGCTGCTGCCATTCCGTCAAGGTCGAAGAAAATCCTCGTGGAAATGATGAAGACTTGAGTACTAAGATAAAAATTAGTTTGAGCAGAAAACGCAGTAAGGCATACGAGTCGATGTGCAGGGTCTGAGGTGTATATTGTGCCTTGGGCTTGCATATGCGACCTTGAGCTATGCCCAATTAGTGATGGACAGGTCCGGTTCGGTCCGGTTCTCTAGGAAATTCAGAGAACCGTGGACCGGACCATCGGTTCAGTCCTCTCAGTAAGCAGAACCGTGGACCGGACCATCGGTTCGGTCCAATAATGGTCCGGTTCCGGTTCAGCAAGGGTTTGAACCGAGAACCGGACCCAAAAAATGTCAAACTTCATATACAATCCGGTTCATCTTCTCGCGCCCTGAACGCGATCCTACCGCTTGTCGCGTCTGGGCAGCCCTACGAAGCGCACCAGAAAACACGCACCTTCACTTCACGGTACAGCAAGTCTTCTTGGCTCGTCGTCGTGGTCTTCTGAGTATCCGCTGTCACGATTTCGGGCAGGTGAGGGGTTATCACCCATGGTGAACCCGCTTGAGTCGGGGCTGCGGCGGCCAGCCCAAAATTCTGAGCCGCTGCGCACGCTCTCGACACCCTCAGCGGTGGAGATGATGGAGTGTAAGTTGGAGTTGGTGTGTGCATGGGATCTGCCCATCGGGAGTGGAGACCAGGAAGAGGATTGGAGGTATTCACGAGTGGGAAGGGAGAGGAGGGCTGAACCAAGGGCACCTCCGTATAATACAAGGAGCGCGTGTGGAGATGCGTGTCGTGCGAGCGCAAGGAGGATAGCGCGCGGAGAAGGTGGGCCAGGGTTGACAGCGTTAAACTGGGGATTAGAGAGCGAGGGAAATGTTTGCGCTGAAAGGAAGATGACGTCTGCGTGGGGGATGAGCTGGTTGCATAAAAATGATCAAATAAAGTACGTTTCAAAAAAGTACAAGGACATACAGCTTCGACACCTTCTCGTGCCCTTCGGCCGAGATCCACGCTGAGAACACAATGTGCTCGCCACTTTCGCTCACGTGCAAGACCATCTACTCCAAGAATGTTGGAGAGCGTGGTTTTGATACTCCGTCCTTCAAAATGCATCCAGTCAAAAGGCGCTGGCGAGAGTGACCAATGTCATACATTGAAGGGAGGTACTGTAGGACTTATCAACGGGATGGGCATCAGGAAACACGCCAGAAATTCCGGCGTCTGGGACATGTTCTCAATTGAATAGAGATTCAAGTTATCGGTTATAACTAGCAATCGATTGTTCCCGAGGAAACAAAAATCGATTGTGGCGTTGGATGGGCCGGGTACTGTACCGCTGAGGATGCTTTACATTCAGAATCGATCGTCAAGTCTTTCAACTATTTCAAGCTAAAGCTCACACTGGATGTCGTCGAGTATTTCCAGTCCCAAATCTGCAGCTGCCACGCCTTGTCCAACGTTTCAGCGGTCAAGCGACGCAACAAAGCGATATGCCTCCCGAAACATTTGAGCTTCGCAAATATGGTTTCAGGGCAGTTTTCCGAGTCGCCCGATAGAAACAGTCTCTCTCCAGCAGCCTGAGGGTGAACACCATAACCATCCAGGGTTCCGAGGTTAATATAAACTGTCTTGTTACCAACGAGATAAGCGACAGCGATCAGGTTTTGTGCTGGGTCCATAAACACATCAAGGTTGAATGAGTGTGGAACTGAACACAACGTTCCTGGGAGCCAGCTTCGCTGAATTGACTGTTGTGAGGACTTTGGAAGTACCGGGAAGACCATGGCCGTATCTTCTAGTCTGCTCCACAAGCAGAAATGCTCGCCAGAAATACTGTTTTCCCGAGATCGCCGTGACCTTGTTATGGGGACCGTTTTGAAGGAAAGGAGGTCAACCTTGAACCATGCGTGAGCTTTGTCTCTCAAAAGTTGCAGACGCTTGGAAATAGGTATGCTATTGTCTGTGTTGGGGACAGCGAGCAACTGTTGTCCACTCATTTCAACGATGGACTGAAGTTCGGAGGAGGACAAGTACGTCTGGCGAAGGGTACTACATACCTGCAAAGAGGATCGTCAGAACAACAGTCTATCTAGATTCTAGAACAACGATAACATGAATGATGGCGACCCACAGATGTACACCGAATAATATCTCGGTAAGGAAGGAAGCTCAGAATGTAAAACAGGAGCTCTTCAGCAAGAGACAGGAAACCCTGTTTGGGGCTTCATCATGATCTCGTTAATGATACTAACACTTACAGGGGAAATAAACGACTAGTGGTGTCCTACAATTACATGATATCGGCAGCAAAGTCTCATCAATAAACTCCAGGAAGTAGTTTATATTTTACTTTCTTCGCCCAATTCGCCCAATCCTCTCCCATAGCACGCTGCAGCATCTTGTCCTCCACTGAACATCGCTTGACGATAGTCGAAGCGCCTATTGTAAGTGTGCAGAAGAGGACCGCTGCTAATACTTTCATGTAAGGCAGTTGTGGAAAGACAGACTGCCTCATCCACGACCCTTCGCTCCCGTGCGTGATGACCAACCCGACATATTGGAGAAGCGCACCAGTGTAACTTGGGTGACGGACGATAGAATACGGTCCGTTTGTCACGATTCTGTGCTCTTCTTTGACGCTGAGCCGGAAGCTCCAGAACTTTCCCAAGGTCGACATGCAATATCGTCTCAACACGCCACCCACCGTGACAAAAAGACTGCCAGTAAGGAGAGCGGGAGTGATTGGCGTGGGATGAAGTGTGTGCAAAAGCTGCACAGCGCTAGTACTATAGAGGCCCTCGGGAATCTGCGAAGGACCTATATGCATGGCCAGTATGTTGGCCACTTCAACAGATGTTGCCGTCCATACAACAATCTGTCATATTGTTCACTAATCTATACAGACAAAAGATCGATACGCAGGAGAGACACACCTTGACCAAGTCTGGAAACTGAAGATCTAGAAGCAGGCTCACGATTGAATCGGATGCTGACACCACCTTCTCTTGAGATGATGGGGGCAGACTAGAGGGAGAATTCAACGAGATATGCATGCCAATGGCCGAGGCCACGAGGAAGGGGATCTTTAATAGACTCATGCTGTATTGCTGAACCTGCGATAAGCCAAGTTAAATACCTCTCCGAGCATCGAGTACCCTTTTATGACTCCGAGCTAGCCTTGATTAGGGATCCTCACAACTGGAAGCCCAAGGCTTATGCTTATCCGTGCTTATAATTATACCTCCCCCCAGTTGCGTAGACGTGGATTATGTGATACAATAGTAGTCCCACTCGTCAATTAGCAGTGCAGTATAACTGTCATAAAATGAACGTGGATCTGAAGCTGGATGGTACTTACCTCCTTCTTGTCCCGCTTCCTGAACAAAACAAGCCTATTTTCAAGTCTTTCTCGACCTATGACAGCAAGGTCCATGTCATATTCTCGGACCAGTGGACATCGGGAATGGGAGGGGGCGGCGGGACCTTCTTTCTCATGGCGTTAACGAGACTCGGCCAGATGATCGATAATCCACTGGCAGAGAGAGCGCTCACTAGCAGAGAGAGCGCTCGATAGCACTTGGCTAACGCGGCAGCGCATTGTGACACATTTCGGTTTGTTTACATCCATGTGTAAGCATAAGCACGGATGAGAATAAACCGTGATCCCAGGTGTGAAGTCCAAACACTAATAAACAACTGAATTTGCGCACTGAACCATTCCGTACTTCACAAAGGACCTCGAAAACAACACCTTCCTCGCCTCCACCAAAATAGGGCGCTACTTCTTGCTGCATCCCCCCACAATGTGTCCTCTCAACGCACTCGCCATAAACTACTTACCACAGCTGCTACATTCTTCAGTAAGTCCCATTGCATCATAACGACTGATACCTGCGCCAGATGCGAGTGTATACATATGGCCTTGCTCGATTCTCGAGACAGAGGTGTGTGGAGGCTGAGGTGGTGCTGCAGCAGTGCGAGAACTTCACTCGCTTAGTGCTCGTGCTCAGCACTTGCACACTCCTGGCTTGGATTGACACCTGCATGTTCTGAATCAGACCCAGGCGTCGTACAGGAGTACAATTGCAGCGCGACTCACGAGCTGCCGCCTCCGCAGCTGTTTGAGCCTCAGTGCTGAGAAACAGGGACTTCGGTGACCTGTCAAGATAACAATGCCGATGATGCAGTGGAAGAAGCAAGGCTCACGGTGTACATGATATTGCGCTGCTGGCTAGATTGGTGCGTTCAATGTCTTTGGGGGTTTATTAGGGTAGCTTTTGTCGCCTGTTCATTGACAATGCGAAGAATTTTTAGAGCTTTCCTGTGTGTGGTCTCGTTTGCAATGGCGTGTCTTTTGTTTTTGCTTTCTTTCTCTCATTTTCCTTCCTGAGCAGTGAAGCAGCGTGGCATGATCCATCAGATCGCACAAATACTATTGTGTATCTGCTCGTGCTCGTCCTTCGAAGTGAAGTAGACTGGAGTCTACTTGTGGCTATCTTTGGTTAGACAATTTTCACGAACTCTAAATTTCCCTTTCTGCGTAATTTTTGATTCCCTAGCTGATAGAAAACCTGCGACGGCCTGTGACACCTATTGTATTATATTACTTTTCTTAATACGATTATACCTTTACTTTCTCGCGACTCATGCTCTCGAGTGTTCTAGGCAATACAATGCAATAACGTGTCATAATCCATAAGTTTATATAGGCACTACCAGACACGACAGGTGCGTGCTTATTTGTGATGTGTCCTATGAGTATCGAAGAAAACCGTCAAGGCTGAACAGAGCCAGCGAACTGCATACTAAAAATGTATCCGAGGTAGTCCATAGCGAGTGAGTACATAATCGAACTAATATGATGCCTTCAAGCGTCCACCTGTCTGTCCTATGCATTGTTGGGAGAAGGTCTACTAGCATCTTCTGAGAATCTTTTCTCGATCATATATTAGCTGCACGATGCTTTGGAGGGGCAGCTACTGTACACTCACACGACATCTGGGGTTGCTGCCATGAACGCTGAGAGAGTGAGATCCACTCCATCGTTACCAGAAGAAACACGATCCGAACTCCAGAAGTCCGTGTGCATTCGTGTGACCAAGAGAGATAGAGCAACGACCTGAGTCCTGCTGTCCAATTAGTAACTACCACTTCCTCCAAGCAAGATTGAACGAACTCTGCAATCATGTGTATCACCGAAAACTACATCTCGCATTAATGGGGCGGCTTTCAGCGTGCAGTGACTCACCGGAAGGAAGATTGTGGCGAGGATGACACCAAGAGAGAAACCTGTGCCATTTAGCAAGTAAGCATGCATCCAAGAATGATTTGGGCACGAACAAAAGCTGCAGCTAAAGTACAATAAATTATGTCGCATGAGACCACGCATAAGACGGTTTTCGATCTTCCAGCCACCATGACTCTCGAAGGCGCGATACAGTACCAATGCCAATAATTCTGAAAGAGCGTAGATGTAAAGGCATGTAGTTAGTTTGAATTCATGTTCGAGTAGCAGCTCCTAATACCGACCAAACTCGCCAAAAGCTAGCAAGCAGTACACGACAATCACTGAAGACCTTGCCTTCGTATCGAGATATATAATACCCCCAGGGATCGAGCACTCTCCTTTATGAATCGATTAGAGGTCGCGAGCTGAGCAGGTAAATGTTCTGAAAGATCTACCCACCCATTGATGGGACAATATATTGAAAGAAGCAGACGACAATCGGGAGTAAAATGACCTGCGGAGGATGGGTCAGACATATCATCTAAGAGTCGGCGACAGTCTCGTCTCACAATCACATTGATGATTTTGAACACCACGAACCTTCTTTTCTGCTCCCATACTGCAATTGTTCTAAGTATGAAGATGCCTGGACCATTAGAGATGCATGCAGATGTTAGAACGCAGGATCAGTAACAACTCATTCGATGGGTGAACCCACACTCAGCGTCAACCATCAACAGAAACCCCACACCTAATGAGGTGTTAAACGCAGAGTCAGCATGCGTCGAGGTAAACCATCATCAGACCCACATATATTTGCTATATATATCCAGCGACAAAGCTATGACGAGGATATGAGTTAAATTCACATGTTTGCAACATTTGACCATACAGTGGATGAACCACGAGGCAGAAAAGTCACTGCGGAACATGGACGCATTACACCCTGAGGACAATATGGAGATGCAAATCCGATGCTCACCGAGCATATTCAGTAGCATGAAGACAAACGGAGTGATGCTGCATTTGAGATACAACAGCGTGCCAAGCCCATGCCGAGAATCAAGAATAAAAGCGACCTGCGTCAACTATGGTTCAGAGTATATACTATAGGGCGTCCAAGCAAATTTCCACTTGCCGAGTCAGGCATGCAGAGTATGCAGTCGTATGTCTTGATTTTGAAGAAAACAATGAGTCATTGCAAGGTCATGATAAATTCTATAACTCACCCAAAGCGATGTTAATGCAACTGGAAACTACCCAAGGGTAGAAACACTAAGTTCGAGATCAGACAGCGGTAAACGTGTAGAAGCGTATGATTGAACAGGAATAAGAAAAGATACCGGTACATGATCTAGGCGTCCGGTATAAGTATGCGTTAGGACAAACAGGGGTAAATAAGGTGCGGTGCCCAATCAGCGTGATGTCGTATAAGCAGACGTCATCGTGTCGTCATGCGTAAGCATAGACATGCTTACACCCTCCCACCCTATCGAGCTTCTTTCTCTCTTTCCCAGACATCCAGGGCCTCGCAGTCCTCCAAGTCACGGCGTGGTAGCCATTCGTCTTCGTCAGCACCATACCCGACCCAGCGAACCAGATACTTTTTGCCTCTGCCGACCTTCTTCTCATCTACAATCTTCTCGATGAAGTTCTCCATTTGTCCGTCTTCTGTGACGACGGGACCTGGCCGTGGGAACTCGCGTGAAGGGAACAGCGTAGAGTCGTTTGGGTGGTAAGGACGAAGTTGTGAGGAGTGGAAAGTTGGGAAGATGTTTGGCGAGTTCGGGAGGTCGAGCGTGTATGTCGAAGATTCCGGATGTGTCTCGATGATGGCGTAAGGTCCGTCGTACCTGGGCATAAATTTAGCTACGCGTTTATCACCTTTTTGCATATATTCTCATCTGCGATGTTTGGTGGACAGCATGACCTTGTCTCCCACCTCTAGAGTGCGTTCCGGTGTGCGGTGCTTGTTTGCTTGAGTTGCTTGCATGGCTTTCGCTGCTAGGAGGTTATCTTGGGCCTCCATCACGTCGAGCTCCAGCTGGGAAATCAGCGCACGCGCGCGTTTGTCTTCCGGTACTCCTTCGGCAGCGGGTTGTTGCGTGAGAGTAGTGCTGCCGTGGTCCGGTTCGGTCCGGTTCACAGAGGGTCGAGCGAGAACCAAGAACTGGACCTAGGTCCGGTTCTACCAGACTCAACGAACCTCGAACTGGACCTTGGCGAACGGTTCAGAATGGTCAGGTCCGGTTAATTTCAGGTTCGAACGTGAACCGAACCAAATTTATTTACAATGAGCAAAAAAAAACATAAGTAGGTACTCATAGCTACACATCCAACTACACAGCTTCTGCCTCGACTGTCGCAGAAACATGGCCATTCCTATATGCCGCCTTTAACAACTGTAATGAGCCAAACGTGGACGATGCGAGTGCATTGCGTCGCACGGTGGAGGTGATCCCTCCGCTTGAGAAAGCCTGTTCGGAGGGGACGGAGCTGCCCTGGATGGGCAAATAATCGCGCGCAAGGTGTCCTCAGGTTCGGCTTCGGCTTCAGGTTCGGCTTCGGGCTGGTCCTCCACGGGCTGGTCCTCCAAAGGATCGGTGTCATGACCAGCGTCGTCGTCATCAAGGCTATCCTCATCTGATAATAGACATGATAAAACCTTTTTGTGAGCCGGTTGAAGTTGAAGTTCAGTAGCGCTAGACAATGCACGTTTGCGGTTTGTTGAGCTGGTGGAGGTCGAGGTTGAATAAATGTTCTCAGCATCCCGGAGGCGAGCAGATGGCTTAGAGGTCCGAATGGATCGTCGAGCACCAGCTGTAACTGGTGTTGGTTTGCGCCCAGTATTCAGTAGCATAGAGAAGGCATCCTGAGGAGGATTAGTAGATGATGATGGCTGGGGGGCAGAGGACGTGGTGTCAAGGGGGACAGAATCATCGGGATCGTGGTAGAAGACGATGTCCTTGGCATCCTTGAGAGAACTGTCAGCATTGACAGCGCATGAGTCTGAATGAGCCATGTTGAATATAGTGCTTACCTGCTGAGGCTTGCACATTTTATGTGCAAGCAAATCAGACAGCCGGTGGACAAACAGCCGGTGGAGGATCGTAATAGCATCGTAGGGTGTTGGTATAATAAGGATCTGGGCGAGGACATGGTCATTATGAGCACAACACTCACACTGTTCAGTTTGAACAGTGCATATCATGACTTACCTTGTCAATGAGCCTCTGCATTTGACGGAAACAAGTAAGTATCGAAGCTCGAGAATCCTTGAGGCCAAGGCGAATCATCAAAGGCAGTGTCAAAACACGCTTTGACAATGCGACAAAACTTCTCGTGGTTCGGGGTTCGGACCGGTTCGGGGAAGGTTCGAACCAACATAGAACCGTTCAGGCAAATGGTGGACCGTGAACCTCACTCAGGTCCGGTCCGCCCCAATTCATGGACCACGGACCGAACCAAGGAAGAACCTGACCGTTGGTCAGGTTTGGACTGTGGTTCTGGACCGAACCACGGCAGCACTACGTGAGAGGCGGTATGATTCGCGGGTTCCTTCCAAGGTGTAGCTGGAAGGGAGACATGCCCATGCTTGCGTTCACCGTGTTCATGATGTTGAAGCGCACACGAGGCAACGAGCACACCCAGCCCTTTTGGTTCCGTTCCACGTGAAACCTAATACATTGATTGATTGTTTTGTTAGTACGCTCACTTGCGCCATCCGATTGTGGATGATAGGACGAGGACATTTTCAATTTGACTCCGGTTAGCTTATGTAGAGTCTTCCAGAAACATGAGAGGAAGAGTTTGTCGCGGTCGGACACAATGTCTAGTGGAAGTCCGTTCTCACAGTACCAGTTGTCGAAGAACAAAAGGGCGAACTGTTCAGCCGTTATCGTGTCCTTGCAAGGTAGAATCCGCAGATCCGCATTGAGCCGGTCAGTCATCGAGATGATCATATTGAAACCTTCGTCCATAGGCAACGGCCCTATGAAGTCCACGGCCACGGAATCTCCTCGTGCGTCTGGTATTGGCAGTGGATGCAGGGGGCCTGCTATCGATGTCGTCCCGGATTTGTTGCGCATACATTCCACACAGCTTGGTATGTACGACTCTACCAGATCCCTGCGCATATTAGGCCAATAGTAAGATGAGCGCAGGGCAGCGTATGTTTTGTCGCTTCCGAAGTGACCTGATGCGTCGTGAGCGAGGTGAAAGAGTTGCTCCCGCAATGGGTTAATGCGTGGCACGACCAGTCGATCCGCGACGTATAGTAGTCCCTCTTGTAGCGCCAGACCCGGCAGGGAGCCCACCAGCTTCATGAGCTTCCTACAGAAAGGATCGTCAGCATAACCATTTAGTAAGTCTTTCAGAAAGGACTTGTCGTGTTCGACACGCATCCGCACGCCGACTGTGCTGTCTGCTATTTCGACCGAAGATAGCGTAGCGGCGATGGTAATCGCCGAAGGACCCTCAGGCTCATCAATGTTCAGGCGCGATAGAGCATCCGCACCAGCGTTGTCTTCTCCTTTTAAGTAAGAGATGTTGAGGTCGAAATGTGCGAGGTACTCGGCCCAACGGGCTTGCCTCCTCGACAGACCTTTCTGGTTCACGAAGTTCTCCAGCGTCCGGTGGTCGGTGAACACTTGCACCGGCTGTCCCAGCAACTCGACACGCCATTTCTTGAGGCCACGGATGATCGCAAGTAACTCCTTCTCATGGACTGGGTAGTTCAGTTCCGCCTCACGCAATTGAGTAGAGTCAAATGCCACAGGCCTTGCTGTTTTCCATGTCTCCCCCCAAGAGAGAACAGCGCCTGTCCGGTAGTCGGACGCGTCGCAAGTCAGAAAGATCTTGTTGTCTCCAGGGTTATCGTGATCGATAGTCGTCAGGCAGTGCGGACTAGTGACGAGTTCCTTGATCGCATTGAAGGCCCTTTCATGTTCTGCCGACCAGAGAGGGAAGGCGAGCTCGGCGGCTTTTGTCGTCAAAGGTGTCAGTATATGAGCATGTTCAGCCAAGGCCGGCAGATGATCCGCAAGGTATCTTACTAGCCCTAGGAAGGACCGAACATCACTTGACCGTCGTGGTGTTGGCCAGTCGAGAATGCGTGCAACTTTAGATTTATCAGGCTTGATCCCTTGAGCTGATATATGGTGACCTAAGAAGTCAACTTCAAGGTTAAACAATGACGTCTTTTTAGGAGAACAGAAAAGGTGTGCGTTACGCAGCGCCAACAAGACAGCACAAACATTACGCTCGTGCTCCTCCAACGTTTGCGACCAGATGATAATATCATCCAAGTACACATGGCAGATTTTGCCGATAAGGTGCCGTAGGGCAGAAGACATTCGACGTTGGTGTGCTGCCGGTGCGTTCCTCACCCCCATGGGCATCACTGTCCACTCGTACAGTCCCCACGGCGTGTGTACAGCCAGAAACTTCATGTCATCTGGATGGACCTTTGTCTGAAAAAATGAGTTAGTCATGTCGATTTTACCGAATATCTTCCCCTTCGCGCAGTCGCGCAGAATCTCGTCTATGCGAGGAAGGGGATGGTTGTCCGGTACTGTGTTCAAGTTGAGTTTCTGGAAGTCGTTTACCCAACGTGGGAGCGCTGTAGGGTCCGCTTTTGGAATGATGAAGGCAGGCGATGAGTGAGCACTGTCCGATGGTCGTAAGCGCCCCGACTCGACATGTTGATCCAGCAAGATTTTCCAAGCGTCCCTATACTTCCGTGGACAATCGTATCCCCGTTGCTGGATAACCTTATTAGCGTCCTTCAACCTGATACGAAAGAGAACATCAGAAGGCAAACTGTCGTTGTGAGGGATATCGGCCGGGAACCGGTCCTCAAACTCCTCCTTGACAGCTGTGTCTCGTAGTCGCAGGCTTTCCTCAGTTGCTAATGCAGCGATACGTTCGCGAACTGCGGCTATGAGGTTAATTCCCTTCACCTCCTTGCACGAATCATCCACCAGCGTCTTATACTCAGGAAGTATGTGTTTCAGTTCGCGTACGACGTCCAGTCTCAGTTCGCGCATACGTGGTGGTGAGGGGACAAGTGAAGGTTTAGGAGGGGAAACGGGGTTGAGTAAGTCGTAGTTCACGTCTTTAGCCAAACAGGTACGATTTTCGTGGTCAATGGTGATTTTGTTGTGGTGTAAGAACGGACCACCCAAGAGAAGAGGAGTACAAAGGTTTGGCACCACGATGGCGCGTACAGTGTGGGAAGTATAATGAGAATCCAGAGAAGTACATGCAAGTTTGACATAGTCCGATAAGAGAAAGGCTTCCTTCTTATTTCCAGAGAGTGCGACGTTGAAAGGTACAGGCTTTGGCAGTTTGTGCACGCGCAGGCCAAGTTTGAGCGCGAGGG